ATCATGCTCAAATTCTTTTGCTTTCCATGCATAAAGTATTAAGTGTTAAAATCCTTGGACTGATTAGTAGAAAAATGAAGATTAATGTCTTATACTGTAAAGAGAAGGAAATCTGCCCACTGTTAGCAAAAAATGAACCCTGATAAACTAGGCAGCTATAATCCTTTTATGGGAAGGACTAGGATAATAGAATATGACATTTAGCTTTATTAATGAAAAAAAAGCTTATGAAATAAAAGTCAGATGATTGATCACTTCAGGGAGATATCATGTAGGCACTCGCTGCCTTCACAATTCTCGCCGTACACTTTCCATGCACAGTTCACTGTGGAGGGGGATGACTGGAAACAGCTGCCTTGCCTCAGATATTCCAGATAGCAGCTTGTCAAAACAATCTGCTGGTGAGCAGGGAACTTGTTGTGACTAAGTAATTTTTAGTGGATGTTTCATCAATCTGGGTAATTTTCAAAGCTCTGCTTCCTTCAGGATTTTCTATGAGTCATGGGCTAGAGTCATAAAAGACAGCTAATCTTAATGTTATTTGCCATTATGGATTATTGTTACTCTGCCCCTAACACACAATTTTACATTCTGTATATCTGTGCATATCAGTTTTGTACTGTGTTCAATGCAGATGAGTTTACTGTGTGACCAGACCTCTTGGATGTGAGTCATGCAAATAATTAATAAAAGTATTTTTTACCCAGGAATCTCAGTGCCCTGGATATTACAAATGGCAGTAGTAAGGGAAAACTGATGTGCAAAATTAAATTACTTGGCAAAGATCACTTAAATGGTCAAATTCAGCCTTCCATCCAAGCCTCCAGACCTTCAAATCCTCTTTTGTCTCTAACTGATCCATTGGTATTATCAATGATGCAGGAGAACAGCAGAAAAAACAGGCACCATGTAGTTTGTGCTCACATCCAACTATGTTAAAACAAAAAGCAAAAAATATGATGGAGTTAATAAAGACTTCAGGACAGCTGAGATAACTCTCCTAGGGCAGCCTTCTAAAAAGGTACTCTGCAGCAGTAACATTATTTTGTTGTTTTTTTTTTTTAAATAAAGACAAATTCATTGCATTTATAGGCTGTCTAAAAACAGAACTAAAAAGATTGGGGTGAACACACGCTGGCTTTTTTTTCTTACTTACAGAAAAAACAAATACAAACTTGTAGTGTTCCTTGACTTTTTTTAACTATGCATTTGATTATAAAGTATTATTGAGAAAAAAGAATGTTTGAGTTTAATGGAAATATTATTGGGTTTTTTTTTCAATAACTGTGAAGTTACACAGCTTCATAATCCTGAATGGTTTTTTAATATCAACCTACCATTGTTTTTTATAATGCTGTGATTAATAAGTATTTCATCAGCTCCCCACATCTTTGTACTTACAGCATTTTATCCAAGCCACATGATGAAAATGTTTATCATTTGGATGAAATAATGAAAATGACCTTATTAAATTTCCTCATGTATTGCTGCCAAAGTCCATAACAATAATGAAGATAAATACAAACTCAGAATATTTTAGCCAAGACTTTGTAATGAAAAAGCATCAAAGACATTATATTCAGCTGTGTAATTGCTTTGTAAGACTCTAAGACAGAGAAGCTGGTTGGAAACAGAAATAGTTCAATTTGCCTCATTTGGGTGTGTGTTTACACACTGAAGTATTCTTGGTTTGTACATTAAAATTGTGCAAGAGTATAAAGACACCCCCCAGAGTCCATATATAAGGGAATAATACTGCAACATCGTATAGAATAGAGACACAGAGATATTTTTTTTTTCAGAAATAAAAATCTCTAGTTCTAAAAACAGAATACCCTTCAAAAATACCAAATTGGAACAATGGCTGTGGCCATTTCCTTGTTTACCCCCTAAAAAGCACTATTCACTCATGCAAATCAATGTGCCCATTAATATATCCACACAAACCTCTACTCTTTTCTGGTATTTGCGTGTCAGACACTTAAACCTGTTTTAGCTGCTCTGTTTGAGACTGTCTGCAGAGGAAGAAAACAGGAGCTGTGGGAAGCAACCCACCAGTGACCTATTGGGTTTCACTGAAACTGCTGTGTGGGATTGAGCAGAGAGATTGCAAGTAAAAGGAGAATGGAAAAATCTATGCATCTTTGTGTCCTGAAGCAATGTCTGACAGATAATTAAAGCCTTCTTAGTCCCATATATGCAGTGTTGTATCAGCTGAGAACCGAGATTTTGCTGCTGAGTTGGAGCTCCAGGATCACCTGGCTGCTAAGAGGACATGAGAATTGCTGGTGTTCCCAGCTGACTTGACAACAGCAGCCCTGGTGCCTTCTGCTATTGCCTTGGTTTCACAATAAATACGTAGTAGGTGGGTGGGTGTTTCCAGACAGCAGTGTCTACAAAGCATGTGTTTAACAGTCATGGAGCTGTAAAAATAACCATGCCAGACTTTCCCAAAATCTCTCCTTCCCTTGCACTGAAAGGCAAAATATATTGCTTGAACTTCCCACACCCTGGACATAATTTTTTTAATCTTTTTTAATCTCACACATCTTACTTTCCTTTCACCCCCTTTCCACCCAGAAAATGCTGGATGCATAAAAAATATTTTAGGCAAAGACCTGGGTGTTGGTGAGTGTGGAAATAAATATCACAATCCTGTCATGTCCTCTCTGGCCTTTATCAGTGCAAAGATGGCCTCATATCCCTTGTTTGGTTTTCCCATCTTTGTCACTATCAGCTCAGCTACAGTTTCCGGTGGCTCATAACATATGTTACAAATATTTTTCTTTTGATATTTCCTTTCAGGAAAGGGAATGAAATCTAATGATCAATGAGGATGAAATGGGCAAGCTTCCGTCCCTAGTTCTGCACTTCCTGTCATGCCATTCACTTTTCTTGTTTCCACATCCTCAAAAGGTTTTTTTTTCTTTTTTTTTAATGAAATTTCACTTCTTCCCTTTCTCTTCCATCTCTTTGTTTCGCTTTCTTCCCAGATTTTAGGGATTTCAGTGGGAATAATTTTGGCAAGTTTTGGTCTTGTTCACTGCACTTCATTTCATCTCAGTGCATTTGGTCGCAGTGACTCCAAATTTTCTGGTTTTTTTCAATTTTATTTTTGCTTGACCATATCTTCTTTCCAGTGTGTTGCTTCAACTCTGTCCTCCAGTTTCAAGATTTCATTCCCTTTCCTGAAATGAAGCATTTGTTTTCATCCTTGAAGACCATAAAGCCTCAGATTTTGGATTCTCAATCTGATGTGATTGGGCCTGTTTTCAAATCCATTTGTGCTAGGTGTGGGGACAAAAGGGTTCTTCATATCTCTGCAGGCAGGCTTGTTCCCCACAGCACATTTTCTAGCGTTAAGTCTAATTTTAAATGTTTCCTCTACCTCGTTGCACTAGTCTGAGTTGATCTCATTGTTTGGCAGCTTTTCCATATATTCAAATGTTTGCCTTCCCAGTTCCATCCTATTACTCCTAGTTAACTCCCTCATACCATGTTTAATAGCTCCTCTCCTTACTATGTCCTACTGTATGCAGACAATTATGTTTCCCTGTACTCAGAAGCGAATCTGTTTGCACATGCTGAAGACACTAGGGGCTTCCAGGCTTTTATGTTTAGAATGGCTGGCCAAATATCAGCAAGGATTTTCTGAAAGGGGCCAGTCCTTCACATGTGCCACTCACCTGGGAGCACAAGTCCTAGGATCTGCTGAAGGTTGCTCCAGTGGCAGAGTGAACAGGGGATGTCTGTCCAGGTAGGAAGGGAAGCAGGGGAAAAGAGAGAAATAGAACAAGGAAGGGAGTCTTCATTTCCTTCTAGCACTAGAGGAGAGCTGGGTGTGGGTGACAGGAAAGGAATTTTATTACATACTTCCTTCATCTCTCCCTGCTTCCTGGTGCCTAATCTTTATTTACCGTTGCCTATATATTTTAGTCTTTTAGCGCCTCTAAGATGTGTGTGTTCAACTTCAGTTGGGGCAAGGCTCCCTGGACAAGTGCAATGTGACCCAGAGGACAGTCCTGTGGAACTAAGAGGTGCTTCCTCCCAGCTGCAGAAGAGAAACAGGCAATAGGGAAGGAAACAGTGAGAGGGAAGAGGATGTTTGGATAAGCTCACTGCTAATCCACTAAATTAAAAACAATAAGGAGACCTCATTTTAAATTTAGATGGGTCTAGACAATGCTTTACTATATTATTTGTCTGGAATGATTAGGATAGCAGATCTTACTCATTCCAGTGTGTACAGATTTCCCCAGCCAACTTGCACCTCCTTACCATGGAAGAACTTACATCAGCATCATGTGCTCTTGAGCTGTACAAAATTCTCCTTCAGCTGCTGCCTTATCTCAGACATGCAATTTCCACTACTAAAACAGAATAGGCTCATTTGGTCCATCACAGCCCCAGCAGACACTGCAATCAGTATGGTTTTGCTAGAGTTGTCCAAGGGACTGATTTTACAAATATATTCTAAGTATCTAGAGTAAATAAGACTGTGCCCAAAACAGTGTGTCCTGGCTTTCCTAGTATTTCTGTAGAGAGAAAATTTATCCAGTTTGTGCAGGATCCATTCAATTTTTTCTCTTCTTCTCAAATATGAGCAAATATTATCTCCTCTGCAGTGGATGTACCACTGAGGAAAGTCCTTTCCTGCTCATATATTTATGCTATTTAAACTTGGTCTAGAATTCTTTAATATTAATGAAAATGGGAAATTAAGTCCAGTTTATTTGCTTTTCTGGAAGAAAGCTGGTTCACAAGGACACCTTCTTTATGACTTTAAATGTAAATGTTGAATAAGGAAACCATTAGATAACACAGATGATAATTTTTTAATTTTGTGTAAAAAGGTGTTATTTCAAGCAGCTAATTAGAGGGAAAAAAGTGTGGGGTCTCAGAGATAGCTGGGACAGGTGCTTCCAATGACAAGGGGCAGCTCCTGAGTGCTGGGGTTGATTTCTGAGTAGCTAAATTAGTTCACCACAGGGCTGTTTGGATCTCAGCCTTGGGTGTCTGATAGGAGTGATCTTTGCTGGGGATGTGGATTGGGCTTTGGCACCTGGTACAAAAAAATGAATCAATCACTACTCCTGCCTTCCCAGTGAGTACTCTGTCAGTGTGCTATAGATTCCTACCTTCACTGTATCTCTCTGCTTCCTCTCAGAGTGAGCTTTCATGCACCCCTTCACTGGGGTATCTGAGGCAAGTTCCCACCCCAGCTTCATGAGAGTTTTGGGTCTGAATCCCTCCAAGTTGTTGTTGATTTTCACTGCTCCAGTATTGGTACTGTATTCTGTACAGGAGCGTGCCCAAGTGCTCTTTCTTTGTATCTTCCATGGACCATTCTTAATGAAAAACTGTGCCTGGGCTCACATTTAGCAGAGGCTTTTGTTTTTTAAGAGGGTTTTCTTTATAAAAAAAGGCACTTAAACACCAGAGAGCAGGACTGAAGATACCTTCCTACTTAACATTTTTATGTAAATCCTTTCTTACTCACTGGGTTAGATTTTTAAAATAATTTTATTTGAATCTACCTATTTTTTTCCCTTGAACTATGGAAGGAAGCATCAGTACTTTGTTCCCTGTTCCACTAGGAAGCAAAGCACCAAAGTCTGTCTGACCTGCCCATAGATACTGGGCATTTCCACCTCTGCTAGTGTGTTACAGAGAAACCAGTGTGCTGAGGTTTTTTATTATGAATAGAATTCAAATTAATGTCAGGCAACAAGGTGTTCATGAACTAACGCATCAGGAAAGGCATTTGGTCAAGAGAGGTGATCCTGCCCCTCTACTCAGCCCTGGTGAAGCCACATCTGGAGTTCTGTGTTGAGTTCTGGGCTCCTCAGGGCAAGAGAGACATGGAGCTCCTGGAGCTGGTGCAGTGGAGGGCTACAGAGATGGTTCAGAGACTGGAGTGTCTGGTATGAGGAAAGGCGGAGGGAGCTGGGCCTGTTCAGCCTTAGGAAGAGAACTGAGAGGGACCTCATCAATCTCTGTCATATCTGAAGGGAGGGTGCCAAGAGGATGGAGCCAGGCTCTGCTCAGTGGTGCTGAGAAATGGGACAAGAGGCAATGGGCAGCAACTGAGGCACGGGAAGTTCCACTAGATCATGAGGAAGAACTTCTTTCATGTGCAGTGACCAGGCCCTGGAACAGGCTGTCCAGAGAGGCTGTGGAGTCTCCTCCCTCACTGGAGATGATTAAAAACCTTTTGGACACAGTCCTGGGCCATGTGCTCTTGGATGACTCTGCTTGAGCAAGGAGGTTGGACCAGACAACACACTGTGGTCCTTCCAACCTTACCCCTTCTGTGATTCTTTTTAATATAAATAATCTCTATCCCTATTTTTTTTTTTTTAAATACGTATGTCAGAGTATGAAAGGAGTTGTGGCAAATTATATTTTTTCTAAAAATATATCAATATTAAAAATCTTTGGTTTTGTTTTTGTATAGCTCACTAATTTAACTGGCTAGTTGCCTAGTGTTTTACATCATAATGTCTCCTGGGTAGGGGCCATGCCCACTTTTTGGTGTCTAGCACACTGGAAGTTTGTAGTTTATTTTTAGGTAGTAATTCTAGTAAAAGGAAAAATTAAGAAACATAACCAAGAAATAGGTGAAAAAGGCTACCAAGATGTCTGTGCTAAAAACACTTCCATTCATGACATCTTCCTGGAGCTCATTGTTTTTCTAGCACAACACTGAGAAAAATGAAAATAATTTATAACCACTTGTATTGTCTTGAAGCCCAGAATGTGACTTAGAAAAACAATTCGGGATCACAACGAAAATGGGTCATTACCGCAGAAGCTGAAGTAACACCAGATTTAATCCATCATCTATTTGTCTGCTAGTAAAATTGTGCCTTGCATGAATTTACTGCTCTGCCTTTCCAGTTCTGCAAGTTAATACATACAGAAAATTTCTTTTAAAAGATTTTAGAAATGCTGCGCTGGCATTAATCAGAGAGATTTTGTCCTATTGGAAAAAATAATAACCAGCACCATTTCAGGGGTGCTACACTCAAAAGCCTTACAATAGTATTGAAATGCTCTGAGGGTATAGGAAATGTCTGGAAGTTGTTCAATGCAGCCTGGACTTTTTTTTTTTTTCATTTGAAATGAAAGCTGAGCTGTTCAATCATGAATGAGAACAATAGTGGCTTTTAAAGGAATGTAGCTGGGAAGGTCAGCTTTTATTGGTAGTTTGTGCAAGGTCTGTGCTTCCAGAGTGCTGTCAGATACAAGTCTGGAATGACTGGGGAGTTGGAAACACTTTTTTGTGTTACAAAAACTCAGATTTGGTCTTGTGGTGCACAGACCATGATAGTGGCACCAGCCCAGCAATAATGGAAGATGGATAGGAAAGAGAAGAGTCTTCTCTGGAAAAGGCATTGTGAAAATTGAATTTTAAAACAAAATGTGCAGGTTTCACTTGGCTGGGTGGAAAAGCCCACTGTTTCTCTGTTGTTACAATGAGGTTTTAATTAAAGGTAGGTTCTGGTTATAAGTATTACAACAAGTGCATCTGGATGGTACTTAGGTAAGTGACTAAAAGTATGACTTTCCTAAGATTTCAGAGGGAAAGTTTTGTATAGGATTTTATCTTGACAGATCTGAAGCTTTTGTGAAACCAAGATGTAAAAAGAAATACTTACCAATTCATTGACTGCGGCTGACCAAAAATTAAGTTAAATCTGTTCAATCATTTAATGTCTCTCCTAAAGGAAACTCAGAAATATGCATGAAGGTACAAATAGTTCCCAGAATAGGGAATCAAAAAGCACTAGGCAGGTCAAAGCACATTCAGATGTGCTGCAGTAATATCCTGAAGAAGGAAGCCTGGCAGGCAGAATTGTTATAATTTTATTATTATTTATATTACCATTGCCCCTGAGGAGACCCCATTGTGCTGCAGCTCCTCAGGCCCATCCCAGAGCTTTTGACCTGCTCTCCACCAACCTCTTTTCCAAAATCATGTTCTGCAAGAAGGATACTGCAGAAAATATGAAATACAAATTGGACATATTGTTACCAGACTCTTCCATGTCATTTGCCTTTTAAATAGAAATGACCACTATGATGAATACATAGTAAAAAGGTATAAAGTCACTATTGGCAAGTCAAACCTATTCAAAAGGGATTGTTTTTAAATAGAAGGAACGTTTAGGTGATCTGAGTACATTGCAAGGTATCGAGAATTTCCTGCCTCATCTTGGCATTTTTTTCTGGGACTTAACCTCCAAAGTCAGTAATCTATTCTTTCCGAGAAATCATGTTCTCCCAAAGCATCCTTTGATGTTATAGAGTTTTTCACCCAGTCAGTACAGAATGGTATTTATGAAGACATATTCCAGATATACTGCTGCATTTCCAACACATGTGTTTGTATTGAACAATCTTTCTTTTCTAACATGACAGCTTTATCTCAGAACAAGTTTCTGAAACTCCCCCTTACCTTGTAAATTCCTTAGATGCAGTTGTATGATGTTGAGTTTTATGTAAAGAACCAGACATACATTGCAGGATTTAAAAATTCCTTTTATCCTGTTGGGTTGAACACATTAAATAACTTGAAAAAATCAAAAGCAACCTGTCCTTTATCATAATATTTCTGGAATCTCAGCACATGCAGGAGTATACATGTCAGAGGTGAAAAAAAAAAATCTTTCTGTAGTTATACTACATTTGGTAAACAGAATAGTCTATGAAATCAATTTCTTAAGTTGGAAAATTCAATAAAATGAAATCCTTTTATTAATAATGTTTCTTTTCCTTACAGTACAGCTACAAATTCTGGCTAGACCCTACTCTGCTAAGTTTCATATAAAGCTAATCTCACCCTAGAAAGTCCACAGCCTACACTCATGCACAGATAAGAATGTCACATAAAGGGGGCACATAAATATGGAAAAACCAATGGAGAAAACAAATAGGATACACAGAAGAGGCCAATTCTTCACAAGCATTAGCTTTAAATCCTTGCTTGTCATTATCTGTAATTGATAGACTCAATTACAGGGTAAAAGAAAGTAATAAATTTTCACATCATTATAGTTTAATTCCTGATGTTTGTCAGATGTTGGCTGAATGGAAGCCTTTAATGCTTAAAGGCTACAAAATCCTGATCAGGATTTTGGGGATGAGTTGTCCCAATATGAGGATTTGTATCATTGCCTTCTCTAGATTCTCTGCATCTGTGGTCCAGTTGCCAAGTGGGATTATTTAACTCATTCCATCTTTAAGCTGTGTGAGAGAAGCAAGCAGCCCAGGTGCCCTTGGCTTCAGCAGAGAGGGAAGGGCTTCTTACCTGGGTACTTGTGCAGTGTCCAGTGCTCTCTGATGGGATGAGGCTATGACCTCTTAGCATTCTGCTTGGCCTTGGTCCTCTGGGTCTGGAGATCTCTTGGAGATGTTGATTTACCTTCCTACAGAAGTCAGGCTCTTGGGAAATGATACATATCTGTATTCTTTTCCATAGTAGAAATAAGGTACTTCCCTATATCTGAGAACTGACAAATGTACTTTTAATATACCAGTTATTAAATGAAAACTGCCTTTTCATTAAACAAACATTTTGCTCTTTATTGAGCACAGAAGCTGTAGACTTCTCAATAGTTTTGCTTGTTTTTACAGAAACCAAAGAGAAAATCTCTTTTCATTTGAAAAAATATAAATAAATTCAAACAGCCTGAGTTGCAGCCTCTGCCACTAAAGTTAGGAATGTTATATAATGTATTAAAAATGAAAACCTTTATCCAACAGAGATGAATATTTTATATGAACATTAAAATAGGTGTGGTTTTACTACATTCCACTGCTTTAATAATACAATAGACCCCCAAGCATAATGGAGTAGGGTAAGTCAGCATGATGCCTGCTTTATATTGCTGAAATAACTCCCAAGAATAGTAATGAATGTGATCTCAGTGGATGCACTATAAATCATATTCTAATCAATTTCCCTTTTTGAATGGCAGGCTGGCAGATGAGCATGGCTACATAAAGGGGAAACCTGGGGGAATGAAAGTACAACACAGTCTGTTGTTAGGATATTGTTGCTAGCAATAAGTTCTTGCCTGTTTTATATGAAGCCTTCCA